AGGTCTAATTGCTTAGCTAGGCGATAGCTAATAAGGGCGCTAACTGAATTTCCTAGGTCTAGCGTAACCTTAGTCTTATAGTTAGTCCTATACGTGTCCGATACGAGATAGGTACGTATAATAGCTAGCACAATATCGATAGTCTTACGCCGCACAAGGCTAACAGTTAATGCGGCGCTTATTCTTTTTTCGAAGGACCGATAGGGGTGATATTAGCGGCTAAAAGGTGCTTACGGTGCTCGGCGGTAGCGCGGTCGATTCGGGCCTAGTCCTTAGGTTTATCGCATTAGCCTAGTAGATAGCTAGTGCTATTACAATTAAAGCACTTTAATCTAGTTAGGGGGTTGCTATAGCCGCTATTGCTACTATTATTAGTCGAGCGGTTAGCATTATAGGGATACGAGCCCCTTCTACAGCCCCTATCGCGGCCTCCTCTATATAGCCGCCGGCTACGGCCTCTTCTACGATCGTTACTGTTCCTATTGTTAGTATTGTTGTCTTAGTAGGAACCTTAGTTTCCTCCGCGGCTACGGTTGCTACGGTTGCTAGCAGGTCGGATCCTTAATTCTAGTCGTTGCTAGAGCTAGACAGCTCGTTTAGCTGTTTCTACCTCGACTATGAATTAGATACGTATTAGGTTAGTCTGTTTAAACACACGGCGGCGGTCTAATTTAAGGACTAATTCCTATTGTAATTTAGGGCGTATTTCGGATATCTAGATAGAGTCGGTCTTAGGGGGCAAATCGTCCTTAAGGGTCTTTAGATAGGCCTCGAAGGATCGAGAGGTTTAGTTAGCCTTTTGTTTAGTACGTAGATATTAATCTTAGGCGTGCTACTAGCGTAATATAGAGTTGCTAAGGGTATTTAGCATAATAGTCTTATAGTCCTGCTATTAAATAGCGGTCTAATCGTTAAGGGATTTAAAATAGTTATACTAGGTGCGCTTTAGGTCGCTATTAATGTACTATATAGCGTAGACGACTAATAAGTAGTTATCTAGCAGGGCCCTTAGTGCATTCCGCTAGTTTAATTTACAATTACGTATATAGTTATTATACTGCTTGCGGCTAGAGCTATTAAACACGGTATAGTCCTTAAGTTTAGCATCTTTCTTCTAGACTAGGACTAATAGTAAGGAAGGCCCTACTATCGGCTTAGTATTAGTTGTTAGGGCCTCCTAAAGGCGGCGAATTTCGAGGAGGTTATCCTTTAGCTATTGTTCTTAATATAGGGCAGTAAGCCTGTTTTAAGTAGCTTCTTAAAGTCTCGCTACTAGCTAGGGGCCAAAGGCTAGCTAGCTATATCGTCGATTAACAATATTGTTAAGTATATCGTTAACAGGCAACTCTAGGTCGTTACCTAGAACTACGGGTTCTTCGGTAGGCCTAGTAGCAGGTTCTTTAGTAGGTAGCACTTTAGCAGGTGCTTTAGTAGGCACTTTAGTAGGCACTATGCTACTAGCGTTGTTATTACTAGCGCTGCTAGCGGCAGCACGGTTGTTATTGCTTCGTAATAAGCCGGCTATTATAATAGGGGGTAATACTAATAATGTATTATTAGCCCCTAAGATGCGGATGTAGCGGAATTAGTAGATATTAGTCTAGTACGATTAACTTAGTGTAATAGGCCGTATAGAAGGCCTTGCTTAATAATTAGTACGGTTGCTTCGATAGAATAGTATATATAGGTCCCGTTCTTCGGGCGCAATATATTAGATTAGTCTTATTCGTAGCTATACCGCTAAAAGCTTGAAATAAGGACTATCTAGCTGCTGCCCTTAAAGGGTAGATCGAATACTATATAAGAAGGGTATATTAGTAGGTAGATAGGGTAGTAGTAGGTATAGGTAGTATTCGATAAGGAGCTAGAAGGAGAGGGAGGAAGGTAGGCAAGTTAGCTTATTACTAAGCGCTAAGCCCTGCCTAAGGCACTAAGACCCTAGCTTCACTTAGCCTAGTTACATGCCAATTACGTATAGCCTCTTTAGCCCTAACAAACTATATAGCCGTATATCTAGGGGACTGTCGCTATAAGGTATATAGCGAGCGTATACTAAGGATAGAAAAGAGGGCGAAGCACTTTAGGTTTCTTAACCCCTACGCCTACGACCCTTATCTACTATATATAGGCGAGGAGTATAAATTAAAGGTCGAGCTCGCTATATAGCGTGCTCGTAACGCCTTATATATCGAGGCTACCGTAAAGGAGTATATTAGTAGTATTGTAAAGGATTAGAATATAGAATAGTAGGAGTTATTAGTATTCTAGTTGCTTACGCGCCTGCCTATTCCTATTAATTACATTATTTAGGGTCTTTAAAGCCTAATAGGAACCTCCGGAGTCGACTAACTAAGCGGCCTCGGCTCGCGCCTTAAACCTTAGTAAGCCCTATTAAACTTAAATTTTCTAAACCTCTATTCTTTTATAACTTCTACTATTTCCTTACTATAGTAGAGATACGCAAAAACCCTAAGCCTTTATAACGGCTCTTAGAAAACTTCCGTAAGGGCTAAGAAACACAACGGGAAACGCAGGATAGGTAACGGATACTATTTACCTAAGATTCGAGCGATCTAAGCGACCTCGAAGACAGCGAAGCCGGAGAGGTGCCAAATCCTATACTACTGCTACTAAATCAACCTATACAACCTCCTTAGCTAATACCTAACCTATTATTCCTTCCTATACAGTCCTCCTCGTCCTTAGCAATACCTACGCAACCGACACCGACACCTATACTATCTAAGAAGCGAAAGAGAGCTAGTAATAGGCGTAATCCGGAGTTGTAGTCTTATTCGAGACCTCTAAAGAATAGCGAGCCTAAGAGGGTTAAGAACAGCCGGTACCGAGTATTCTACTATAGACACTATAGTAACAACGATATAGAGCGCTTTTAGTCTTAATCTAGCAACGCCGCCGAGCACCTATTCTATAAGCATCAAATTATCGTTAGTCGTATAAAAGAGAAGGATAATAGTAAGAAACAGAGCGTAATCGACTTCTTAGCTACTATTAGAAAGAACGTAGATATTAAGATATAGAAGACCGTTAATATACTAAAGAACGCAGCGGATAAGAAGACCTTTAGATACGCTCTTGCTCGCTTTGTTATAGCACTTAGTGTCTTATATAGTGCTATTGTAACGAAGGAGTTTAATAACCTAATACTAGCAGTCAACCTATAAGCTAAATACGTACTTCTACGCTTATATACGACCCTCTTTAGCTATATTCTTTACAACTTCGAGTATTAGCGAGAGCGCGTTAAACAAGCCTTATTAGGCGCCTTAAGCTATATCTACGTTAGTACTGATATATAGAAGGCTTAGTATAGCAGGAAGCACTTCTAGGCTATTAATTGCTAGTATATTAATAACAAGGGCAAGTTAGTTTAAGTACTACTAGATTTTCTACCGCTTCTAGTCGGTTCTTATATAGGCGACTTCCTCGCGCTACTACTTATTAATAGCTTCAAGGTCTTTAATATAATAGACAAGATCGGCTAGATAACGGCTAATAATAGCTCTAATAATAAGACCCTCTATGCAGCCGTAGAGACCTTTATTTAAGCAGAAGGCTATAGCTACTTCCGGAAGCGCTATCTACGCTATATTAGCTACATTATTAACCGGATAACGTAGGCATTTATATTCGCTAAGAATAAAGAGTCTGCCGAGAGCGAGGAGTTTGAACTGTCTATAATAGACTCGGATAGCGATATAGTATCTATCTCGAAGTAGCTAGATATAGACGTAGACTCCTTTGCTAAGCAAGGTCTATTACAACGGCTGTTCTTACTCGCTAAGCTTCTATACTAGAACGACAACTTTAACGTATTTAAGGAGGTATATAAGGCATAGCCTTTACTGCCTGCTACAACACCTAAGATTCTAGGTAAAATACGCTAGAATAGATAGCTCCTTATAATTGAGGAGGCACTACAAACGAGGCTAATATTAAATAGCTTCTTCGATAGAATACCGCACTTAAGGGACGCTTAGCTTACTACCGAAGAATAGTCTGTTCTATAGCATACTTATAACTTCCTTATACTATTTAAAGAGGTTACTTTTAAGCTATAAGGCTACGTAGTAACACTGGATTAGTACTAAGAAGCTATAGAGTATATAAGAAGCTACCTTACTCGGTTAGCGGAAGATAATACTCGGCGTTAACCTCTTATCCGTTCAATTTAGCTAGTAAGACAGCTATTCGATAAATACTATCGACTTAACTAATAGACCTGCGTCTATGCCGCGGCAGTCCTTCTACATCTAACTCGAAGGCTCGCGTAGTTAAATAAGTGCTTAGCAATTAATATAGACGCCGCCTTGTTAGAAGCTAGAGGTCTATAGCAAGACTACAAATAACGCTATAGACACAGCACTCCTTACTTAACTTCTAAGCGCAACCTCGAAGGTCTTACTAACCTAGAACGGTAGCAAATACAGTTATAAGCCGACCTTGTTGCTAGCGACGAGGATGCCTTCGAAGCCTTTATCTATAGACTACCGATTAGCCTTCTAATCGTCGGCAAAGACTATAATAATAGGCCTGTTTCTATAATACTAATTAAGTAGTAGATATAGCAACAATCGGCTAATCTAGCACTCGTACGGCTTACTGTCGACCTATTGTCCGCATTCGCTATATCCGTAGAGTCCGAGCGGACCTTTAGTAAGAGCCGGCGTACGATATTATAGGAGCGGTTATTACTTAGTAGTAATACTATCCGGATGAGTAAGTGTTTAAAGAGTTGGCAGTCTACAGGCCTTGCTTATATGCTATTAGAAGGGCTATATTTACTAGAAGGCGCAGAGTACGAAGATAATATATTAATAACTGCTAACAACGACTATAGTCTTTAAAATAGCACCCTTCTTAACTATAACGCTCACTACTACAGTAATTATATAATTATAGCGATTGTGATTAACGATTAATCACTCACCTGAGATTGTAATTGTGATAACGGTCAGGTGATTGTGATTAATCAACAATCAACAGCTATGGATCTCATCCAATTCTTCAAGAGTTCTAAAATTCGGAACCGGATCAGCAATAGTTGCAAGGGTGCAAGGCTTTCTGCCATAGGCTTCATATTTACCTTCCCTTGGTCTCAACAAAGAAAAAATAGATGAATACACACTCGAAAATATCCCAGAAAACGAAGAAGACATACATCCAGTATTTTGTCTAGCATTGTCAGCACGATGTCTTGATAACGAGGCTGCTATGATCACCTACATCTCGTAACCACACAGGTGCAGCAATAGTATTCACAAAGCTCGCAGTTGCAGCTGTGAAGGAATACGCTTCCATACCCTTCGCTCGCATATCGTTGGATAGGACTTCGCCAGGGTATATCGGTTGCATGGATGTCATAGCGAGGGCGAAAGTGCTACCGAAGACGTAGATGAAGGTGATAGAAGCTCGCGATGATGCTTTGCTGCCGGTATGAACGTAGTCAGCCGCGGTCCCAGCTGTGATGGCAAGACAGTCTGCCATTTCGAGAGTGACTCCCGTCAACATCTTTCGTCGACCGAAGACATCGTGTAGTCGAGCGCCGATCATCGCAGGTGTCCAGTCGGTGATTGCATAGACGATGTTGAGCAGCAGTTGCGTACTAGTATTAGTGATGCCGACGTTAGCTACGAGATATGGCAGGTAGTAAGATGCGATGCTATGCAAAGTCAGCACTGTGACCAGCACTCATATCACGAGAGGACAGACTTGTTGCCAGAGAACTGTCCAAACCAGGAGAAAGCAATGTTGAGCATGATTCTGTAGCGTCTAGCTCTTGTCTTGAATAGCACGCGAAGATCAAAGAAGTACCGCCATGTCATCATTCCTTCTTGTTTAAGCGCTTGCACGATCTCGGTCATCTGAAGCTCGACCAGCGGATGCTTGTGATCGCCATCAGCATGCAGGTCCGCCAAGATCTTTCTTGCTTCCTCATGGCGATCTTTACCGACCAGCCAGCGAGGTGATCTACGAGTTCTCAGCTAAGTGAATCGGTCTTATAGTTCGCGTGATACAAACTCTGGTACAAGCCAAATGCCCAAGCATACGAGGCCTGGACAGAGCATCAGCATTTGCAGCCAAAGTGGAAGTCGCCAGGATACGAGACCAGTCAAATGGTGGTTCGTTGCATACACCGTACAGGTGACAATGATGGCGCCAAAGTAATACAGAGTGTTGTACATGCCAGACACCGTGGCTCTGTACTGCGGCGGAGCAACCTCGAGCAGATACATTGGCGCTGCTACGCATGCAAACGAGGAAAAGAAGGCCAAGATGAATCTCCCGCCGATGAAAGCCCCCAGTGTCGGTGAAAATATCGAGAAGACCAGACCCGTTCCACTGCTGCCTTCTGCTGGTAAGCCATAGTGTTCGGTGTAGCTCTTCATGGCATTGATGGAGCCCATCAGCTGGCCATCAAAGCCTGCCATTGTAGCACACAGGTAAACGAGCAGACACATGAAATACAGCCGTAAGTATCCTCGACTCCATGGATTCGGCTTGCTATGTTGGATAACAGTCGCGAAGGTGTCATTATTGCGTGTCTTCTCAGTAACTTCTGGGGAGGACGACTCTAGACCCTCGACGTGCTCGCTCACTGCCTCTTTCCCAGACATCGTGATGGATGTGGTGGCTTGATCTCAATTGAAGTCCAGTGGCTCGCGCAAAATACATTTGATTCTTCTTTATGTGTGCTATGAGACTGATGGGGTTCTCGCGTGCGGAAACTCGCCTGCCCATGTTGCCTGCGTGACCCCCAAAACCAATATGCCGGCCGGAGAAGGTTTTACAATAGACAAGGTTCTCCATCTTCTCCAGTTCATTATAGCGAACATAGATCATGGTGGACCATTAGCACAAACGGAACTTTTGCTGGCATCCTTCCTGGAGCAAATGCATTGTTTGTCGTTTGAGCTATTACATCTCATATTAAGAACTGGTCGACAATTCGCAAATACGTTACTTACAGATGCTTGTGATAGTAATAGCCATAATAATTTGCAATGCACTCGTTGGCACAGCTATAAGTCGGATCGACAAACTTATCGACGCAATTTGGGCCGTATGTCTCCCCGTTAGGCTGTACACATCCGAAAGCTCCTTGTTTTGTACAAGCAGCGAGACTAAGGCAGTCACATTGATTCCCGTAGAGCGTTGCCGAACCGGTTGATGCGAGAGCGATAAAAGTCGCAGCGAAGGTGAGTATAGACCGCATAGTGTTCTTATTGTAGCAGGTAGTATTAGGAGGTGCCGATACAATAAAGATCGAAAGACAGCGATCGTAAGCACTATTTGTACTCGCAGTCTCGTATTCGGGAAATGGCGCTTCGCCCTCGATATAGACCTCGACGTATAGGAAAGTAGTTATAAAACTTAAACTAGGATGGACCTCCTTTACCAACAAGACCAACAAGGCCGTATAGTTGTACATATCGTTCAAGCCCTGCAGTGCTTCTATAATCGTTATCCGCGGCTTCCGTTCCTGCTTGTTACCTGCTAGCCGCTAAGCGTAGGGCCCGCATATGCTATAGCGGTTGCTATGCTGTAGTGGCCTATAAGCCCGTATTTAATTGTTGTTTCATTTATAGGCTGTTTATCCCACCAATGTCTAAAGGTTCTTTTTGATACCAGCTCGAAGTGTTGTAACTAACAAGCAGAACAAGACATGAATACAGGTGTCCTGCTAATGGGTGCCTTGGCAGTGTGGTAAGCTTCCTTGGCTGATCCATAACACTAGTAAGGTTCTATTCTAAGGCTTGCAACGTCTGCGGGGAGTTGGGGGGAGGTTGTAAACAGACTAAATTCTGCTCGAGGCGCGTTGGTATACAAGCAAAAGACCCCAGACGCTACTAGGGATAGAGCAGTTCAGACTATATATGGTATAGATATAAGTGCCGTCTTCGAGGGTAGATTGAAATGGTACATATGGAGGTGGATGTATTCATGTTGGCGGAACTCCAGTAGTGTCTCCGCGCCGCCCTCTTTCTTCACTCAGGTCTTGGCAGGCGCCTGAGGCCAGCCATTTTCAACAGCCTCGGCCGAACCAAAGTTACCAAACTCTCTCATCGAAAACAATACACCATAACGTTCGAGGGCAAAATGGAGTCCTATTCGCCTTCCATCACAACAGCGAAGGGTTTAACAGGACCTTCACACTGCCGCAAAAGACCAACATAAGAGATTCTGCGACTCTAGAGCCTCAAGAATGCCATCTCGACTCATACTCTTTGGTTTCTTCGCCGGACTCATAGCACTGCTCGTGTCACCACAGATCGCCAGCGAGGCAAGAAGCCAGGGATGCCTTCTGAAAGGACCACCGGGCTTCATCAAGGACAAGGCTCTGGACTATGACTTCATCAGAGGTCTTCAGGTTCCAAAAGTTCATGGACCACTTGACGCCATCCTTCTCACCAGAAATGGTCACAAAATGTCTGCTGCCCTAACACAAAACGGCGACCACATTGAGCTGCGCAGTAGCGGACCCCGTAGAACTGCCAAAGTCATCCAGCACTCGCCGTCTCGATTCGTGTATCGAGAAGACCACAGCTACGGACAGCGAGTCTCACACACCATGAATTTCGCGGCGACGAGCGTCAGGGACTACAGAACTAAATTTGAGTACGAGGTCAAGTGGAAAGGCAGTCTTGCAATGATGTTTCTAGGGGAGATCGGCCTCACAAGTCCCGTCGGATTGGATGTTGGAAGTATTGAGGACTTGCGACAGGCTCTCGAGGATGCGTATGAAGATGAGCGGAGAGAATGGGGAGACGCTCGATATAGGTAGCTGATCTCCTATCCAAGAGTTCTATGCACAGCAAGCGAATGCCGGTTTTTCGGACCTGGAAGCCGATCTCGCAACTTCTCCGCAACATCCTGGCTGCCAATGGCGATCTTATCACGATATCCATACTGTGTTTGGGTATCTCAGATTGATCGCCGCATTACCGTCCGGACGTTTTCCGGGATCAATGGCGGACATCGGATGCTGACGCCGAAATCTCGAGGCGTTGTTACTCCTTCCACGACGTTGCACAAGGTCATTCAAAGCTAAAACAATATAAAGTCCTCCAAAGCTGCTACTCAGCAAAATCTGGCACCATTCGCTTTGCTCAATCGAAAACATCATCAGACTACTCAGCGAGCAATAAGCTACTCGAAATGGCCTCCGTTGCATCAAAACTATCACTCGTCCAAGTACCGAATGTGGAGGAAGACACCAAGCGTGTCTTTGCAGTTCTGCAGCAAGGTGGACTGGCAATTATTCCAGTGTCAGTCGGCTATGCCATCGTAGCAACACACACAGTGGCTCTCGAGCGAGCGTTCACAACGAAACAACGAGGAGCCCACAAGCGTCATGCCATGATCGGAAGCTATGCACTGCACAAATCAATCCACGTCCTACCACCACGAGAGCAATCCATGGTCGACTTCCTCATCCGAGATCTTCAGATCCCTCTAGGTCTCATCGCACCCTTCAAACCAGACCACCCCATCATCAAGAAACTCGGAGCCGAAACTTTGGCAAGATCAAGCATCGAAGGAACACTGGCAATGCTCTGCAATGGAGGTCGATTCATGGATGAACTTTCACGTCTTGCGACCGAAGCAGGTGTTCCATTGATGGGCAGCTCAGCGAACATGACCGGCAAAGGCACGAAAGCTTATGCGGAAGAAATCGAGCCTCAAATTCTGGAAGCTGCTGATATCATCATCAACTATGGAAAGCAGAAATATAGCACTCCGAGAACATCTTCTACCATGATTGATTTCCGCGGTCCAAGTTTGCTGCGGTTTGGAGCTTGCTATGATACTATTCGGGATGTCATGAAGAGATTCTATGGAATTGAGTTTCCTGAGGATCCAGGCAAGGATACTCTCTTTAGCGGACATGCTACGGAGGCGCAGAATAAGTATTAGAACAGCCAAGTACAGATTTGAATAGCATTTTCAAGTACACTTCACTCGCTGCTCGCTGGCAGATGTTGTAACTGTGTTGTCGTTTCCAGTGGTTGATCCAAGCTTTTGAAGTTTTGGCTCACCATGCGATGGCCATGCAGCCAATAGCCCACGCGACAACTGTCTGCTATGCCACCCCATCCAAGGTATACCAAAGCATTTACCAATGCTCATATATTCGTCTTCCAGCGACCGCTCACAGTCCTCAGCACGCCTAGACACTTGGGTATAAAAGGCCCCCTTCTCCCTCTAGAATTCTTCCTCTCTTTCTTCTACATCTCCCTTCCCCCATTACGTGTTTTAGTCACATTCCACTAACACTTGGCAGATCGGTCACATCACCACACCTTCCCAACACCATACCATTGACTCCTAGCAGTACCGTCACTAATCAGGGCTTAGCGCTTCGCGGCCCAGCCCACGTTTGAAGGTGGCGGACCTCAGGCCCCTCTGCAGTGGTATCCTACACGACTAGAGGGCTGTGGTATGAAGGTCGGATGCTCCGTACACTAAGTGGAGTGATAGACGTGTCAGAGTCTGGGATGTGAGGGTTAGGTGGCCGGTATGTCTGACTGTCGCCGCCCAGCGAGGAGAAACGAAACGAATCGATGCGACTTTCTTTCCTCCGACCGATACGAACCGAAACGAATCGGATATGCGATGCGCCGGCGATGCGAGTCGGTTTAATTTTTTTTTTCATCAATGTGCTCTGCATGCAGGCACTTGGAGAAGAAACTTCTTGCTGTCATTGCTGTTGATGCTGTCCCTTCTATCGCCACTGTCGCTGTTGCCCTGACTTTCCATATGAGCTTGCCGTGATTGATTGTTACTGCCACTCGTCGCCGCCTTGAACAAGACAAGAGAAGCTCATATAATCCGAGTTTACGAGCTGAGTGGAAGAATAGTCGGAATTTGTGCACTCAGATAGTGTTGCAGTGTACTGTATCATGTACAGAGTCTTCGTCGGGGGTTCAGCAAAGAAATGCGCACATACAGATCCAGACTCGGCCTCTGACTCGAGAAGAAATCAAAATGCCCCCCTCCCCCTACGTATTTCTTGCCTAGTGCTTCCTTCCTACCTACTCGAAGATAGATTTGCTTTAATCTTCGCGCAAGTCCGTCCACAATACCTTAAAAACGACCAGGAGGCGTTGGCATGGTCTTCATCCTACTCTACCCCACCAATAATGTTCAACAGATTCTTTTCAAGATCAATTCTAGGGGTTGAGGCCTGCAACGTCTGCGGGAAGGCTGTAAACAGACCAGTTCTTGCTCGAAGCGTGTTGCAGAACATGCCTTCGTTGTTCATCAAAGTGTCTTTTCAAGATCGAGAAGGCTATTGCCGGCTACAAAGCTCAGCTCGACATTTTGACGACTCTTTTGACTGGCAATGACAGTTTCGTTCTCAGAATTGTCGGTCGCGAATGCTTGCGACCTCAGTACTTCTCTTACTCCTGGCTCTTTCTGGTGGCCGCACGACATCGCTACATCTGCTGTGTTGGAGTAGCCGATGTTTCAGAGACGAGTGTATCTCTAGCCACCTGCCGCGACGCTATGCTTATGCTCGCCGTACGCTGTTGCTTGGAATCTGCCTATAAGAAGGGCGAGGATGTCAAGGGTGAGGTCGAGTTCCTAAATTTAGCAGCTTGTGCCTCGTCTCGAGGCTGGCTCCAGTGGGTTCGCAACTTCCAAGCAACCAGACGTTATGATCATGATTCTCGCGAGACCAGACTACTGAGGACTCTCAACACATCGAGCAGATACTACACGCACGCGAGAACGCCACAAGGCATGTGAATCGCCCAATGCCTTACGAGACTCGACCAGGAAACCGACACCTTAACCACCGGCGGTGCCGCAAGAGCAGGGACATCTGAGAATGGTTTGGAGAGGGCGATGGCACCATATGTGCACCATTGGTACAGAGAAGAGCGAGCACTGAGCCTAGATACAGTCTGTCTGCTTTGGCGGAGGCAGTAATCATGACTTACTATCGGAGACTCGGAGACCACGCTGTATGATCCGGCACAGTGATAACGGGTTGCGCGCCTGATAACGGGTTGCGCGCCTGATAACGGGTTGCGCGCCTGGCATGCAGGTTTTATCGGCTCACGGCAGATTCTTATACTGTGTTGTACGCGTTCTATGGTCGTATAAGCACCCCCAGATTCTGTCCGCACCTATGAACTGACAAAGATTGATCCTTCCGACGATCAAGTACTTGGGCTCACCCAAAGCTGCGAGACACTATAGTACATCTCCAGTCTGCCTGACAATGGACGATCAGACCATGACTTCAGCGGTGATGACTGGGGCGGGATTTGGAGGTCTGGTGCTTGCTTGAGGCCTCTGGAAGCACAACATACTCCCTCCCAGCTTTTCGAGTGGGGAACTTCGCGTTAGACCCAAAGGTCGCTGATTCCGCATCGGCGAAGATGGCACAGCAGCACTGTAGACGACGACTTGCCCTCAGCTGATCGATGATCCGAGTGGCTGCCGAGCACGCCATATAACGTGCGCAGGGTTCCACACTAACAAGCACATCACGCATTGCTGACCTGATCAAGGATGGTCTGTACCTTGGATACCACAACTTCGATCCCGATTTCTCTCAGATTGTCACCCCAAACGTTGACATGGACATGCGGCAGAAAGTAATTAGGAACGTTGCGGTGATTGGCGCTGGCGCCAGTGGTGGGCATGACATTTAAGTCGCCATGAGTGTGAACACCCTTGTCTAACGATAGCTAGGCGCGGCGGCTACTGCTGCTCTCAAAGCTGAAGATTACTTCGACGACATACAAGTGTTTGAACGGAAGGAAACACCGGGCGGGACGTGGATTTACGACCCCGATCCAGGATGTCTTCCTATCACGCCTGGAGCTCTGCCACCACAAGTTGACAAACCGTTGGCGATCCCGAAGAGTCTTCCTACAACAACACCTCCTTCAACGCAGCATCGCTATGATAAGACACCAATCTATGAGCAGCTGACGTGAGTGGAAGACAAATGTGCTGTGAATCTACTCTGATGGTTTTTCTAGAACGAACGTGCCCGATGTGGCTATGTCTTTCACTGACCTGCCATTTGCATACGGACCTTTCGTACCTCACTGGATACCCAAACAGTATCTTGAGAACTATTTCTCGCAGCACCGCCTCGACCAGCATCTTCGTCTCCTCACAACAGTCGAAGCAATCACAGCTTTAGAGAAGAACAGATGGCGACTGACTTTACGACGATATAATGCAGCAAGTCATGTCGACGATTGGTGGCAAGACGAGTTCGATGCAGTAGTCGTCGCGAATGGTCACTATTCTGTTCCTTTTGTAAGATTCGTCTTTGACAAATGATGATCGGGGCGTGCTCTAACCCAGCGCACAGGTCCCATATGTCTCCGGCATCAACGAATATCGGGAGAAGTTTCCCCATCGTATAGTACATTCCAAAGTCTTCAGAACAGCCAGAGAGTATGCAAACCAAAGAGTCCTTGTCATCGGGAACTCAGCCTCAGGATACGACGTTGCACATATCCTCCTCACTTCCAAGTTGCTAAAAGGCCCACTCTACGTATCTCGCCGATCCCCAGGCCGATGGGTCAGTATTTCCATATCTGCAGACCTCCATACCTATCTCCACACTAACATCCCCACTCCAGGACGGCAAACATCCACCAGAAGGCATGCTCTGGAAACCCATCATTACCGAATACAAGTCAGACGGCAGCATCCTCTTCTCCGACGGAACCTCCCTCTCCGGAATCGACAAAATCATTTATTGCACAGGCTACCAACCCTCCTACCCATTCTGGAACACAAAATCCCACGGCCGAGACCTCTACGACTATCAAAATTCCCGCCTCATAAACAACTTCCAACACACATTCCTCCACGACTTCCCAACCCTAGCATTCATCGGCGTCCCACGAGTCCTCACATTCCGCTCTTTCGAATATCAAGCTGTAGCAATCGCGAGATTTTGGTCTGGACGGAACTCGAAACCTATGCCTTCGATCACGGAGCAAAAGGTTTGGGAGGAGAGGAGAGCGGGGGAGGGGAAACGTTTTCATCAGTTGGAGTGGGGGAATGGTGAGACTATGGATTGGTTTCGATGGTTGTATGAGTTTGCTGGGTTGCCGCGTATTGAGGGGAATGGGAGGTGTCCGCCTGTGCTTGGGGAGAGGACGAGGTGGGCGATTGAACATGTTAGGAAGTATCCTGAGGGTGGAGAGCAGGCTGTGGTTGAGGATGAGGAGGCGGATTGGACGATTGTAAGGCGGGAGAGGAATGATGCGCTGTGGTTCTTGTAGAAGGGTAGACTTGTGGTGAATTAGAGGGCGTCGCCGTGGAGTGTCGGGTTTAGCAGCTCATGTATGTAAAGGACTCCTGTTTCTCGCAACTTCTGATAGAGTTGGGAAAGAAAGCCTGGCCAGGGGCTTGAGTGAATCTTTCTAGCCACAATCTTTCCGTACATCTCACTTGCCCAATCTCTTCTCGATATCGTGGAAGCACCGCATGAAAGCTTGAATCTGTGGCCTCTGTGTTGACTCTATGGTGGTAGGAGATGCAGGCGAGTATCACTGAGGCGGCAACATATGCGAGGCTGCACAGGAATTACAGCCTCATGTGGAGATGTGGAGAGCATCATTCCATCACCACAGTGAGTGCACGTTTTGAGAAATCATCGTCATCTCTCGACAGCAGTCCTCTGCCGAACATGGCCGTCCGATGTCACAACGGCACAAGTGTTCCGATGCTTTCTTTGATCGCGTGTTTGGCCTGTATATCAGCCTGATAGAACAACAGCACAGCACGATAGTCATGAGTCCACGGGCGTGCAGAAACATACTTTGTGTCACCATTATCTGGCATAGGACACCCACCACACATAATCCGGACTCGGTGGTCTGCCCGACTGTCGATGCGATATCCTATGGTTCGCAGAGCGAAATGTGCTGGCCTCAAACTTTGGACTTATGTATGAGTATGCTAGGACCGAGAATGAACGACCTGATTTCGATGCCTTATACGCAGAAGAAGGTCTGGACTTTGGAGAAAGGTTGGGATGGTGTCGCGGACTCGTTGGCACGCCATACACCCTGATTAAGCGAGATAGCGGAAGGGGGTGATCCCTGAAAGCGGGATCTAACTGTTCAAAGCTAGCGTACTACCCAAAGAAATTATACGCACCTCCACGTCTAACGTTTCAAGCTAGCTGCCGAGCCTGCCGTTTACGGGGATTACCCCCGTCCGCCATCTCGCTTAATCAGGGTGTACTTCACTCGAAGCAGCGCTCACCGCAAGGATCTCCTCAACATCATGGAAAGCCTCATTCCAGAAGGCCTTGTCAAATTTGGCAAGCGTGCGGTGAAGATTTTGCAAGCCGACGACAAAGTGGCTGTGAGCTTTGAAGACGGCGAGACAATCCATGCGGATGCGCTGATCGGATGCGACGGGATCAACGGCATGACCACACAGGCAGTATTATTACATCTATCGCGGCATCGTAGGACGCCAGAATTGTCCTAGTAGAGGAAAGCACGCTGGTCATGCAAAGTGGTTTATGTCCCAGGGCAAGGATGTAGCGATCTACCCAATCTCAAAAGGAAGGGATTCAAGGGAAAGAAGGTTCGTCTTCCTCGTCCACGACCCAGAGCCCTGGAAATATGCACATGAAGCCATCGAATGCACGCACGCGGAAATTAATGCTGATGAATGGTCGCCTCACTTGATCGCCGCCTGGCGTTTGCCTGCTTGGAGACGTTGCTCATGCATCATCTCCAGGACATGCTGCTGGAGCTGGGCAAGGTTTAGAAGACGCTGTCGTGCTGTCCCACTTGCTCTCGCTCACGACATCGAAACACCAGATCCCCGCCGTTTTCGAAGCATACGATGCTGTGCGGAGACCACGCGCGCAGAAGGTCGTTCAGACAAGTCAAGAAGCAGGGAGAATGTACGGCTGGAATTTACCGGGCTTTGGAACTGATATGCAAAAGATCGTGGATAATGCTAACAATCGTCTCCGTTGGATCTGGCAGCATGATATCAGAGCGGATGTAAACGGGCAGAGAATATGTTCGCCGAACGCATCCGTACTTCCGAATCAGCTTCTACTACACAGACCAAATTCCAGTTTTCCATTGCAGTTGAGAACTTTGACGGAAGTAATCCAAATCATATCGGTCTTCACGACGGTGATGCATATAAGGAGGACAGAGTGGGTCTAGTCGGAAATTAGAGATTCCGCCGGGGAGCCGATTTCTTAGCCTTCTATATATATTTCTGCTCTTCTAGTAAACAATCTATTTTATACCTCGTCGTCGCTCTCTCTATACCTTACTATCGCTATCGCTGCTCTTACTATCGTAATAGACACCTATATTAAAGGCCTCGCAGACGCCGTAACTAGCTATATTAAAGGCCTCGAAGAAGCTATAGCCTTCGACTTCGCTGCTACCGCCGCCGAGCTCGAGAAGGTAGTATTTAATACGCGGTTTAACGCGAATAGAGACGTTAAAAAGTATAGTATTAATAAGCTAATAATAGCGGAAGATATAGCGGATATCTTTAGTAGAATGCGGCCTATTAAGCAAGACGATTTGCTACTCGACTTAGCTAGTCTCGACGGTAGTAAAGAACTCGATAGTAGTAAAGAACTCGGCGGTAGTAAAGGTAACGGTAGTAACGGTAGTAACGGTAGTAAAGAAGATACTAAAGGCGAGATTATAAGTAATAAAGAGCTAACTAAGAAGAAGAAGGCTTCTTATAGCTATAACGAATTTAAGAGCCGCTAGCGTAGTTATTACTTCAACGCGTCGCAAAGGCTAGTAGTACCTATTCTAGCTAATATCGCTTTATAGCGACAGTTGCTATTCGGATTGCGACCGGAGCCCTTCTAGGTTAGTAAGGACGATAGAAGCACCTACTAGCTATTAATTAACAACGTACAGTATACTAATAGCGCTTACCCTATATCCGCTTCGAAGTATATACGTATCTTTAGCTTTAAGTATCGCCTTAGTCGTAAGTAGCGCGCCTCGTAGGCGGATAAGTCGAAGAAGTCGAATAATAAAAGGCTTCGTAATACTAATAAGGACCGTAACCTCTATATAGCGCGCCTAAAGGTTGAAGTGTTATATAAGCCGTATAACGAGACTAACCCTGCTAGCAACCTCGTTAAGAACAGTAAGAAGGAGTTTAAGCGTATTAAACCGGTCGAATACTAGTTCTCGTACTAAAGTAGGGATTAGGCCGCTTATAACTACTCTCTCGAGACTTCTAACCGTAATAAGTTAAATTCCTTCTAGCGGAAGGTAGTTAGTAACGAAAGGCAGAAGGGCTATAGAGCGGCGGAGGTAAAGGACAATATAATAGGTAAAAACGCACCTAGGCAATATAAGGTTCTTAAGGCTTCCGGAGGCCTTAGTTTTAAGCGAATGTACGTTCTTAATAGCGCTCGAGGCTTCCGTAAAGTATACCCTAATATCCGGTATACTAGCGGTCGATTAAGTACCTTAGTACAGTTATTAGAGTTAAGAGATTAGTTATTAGAGTATAAGTTCTTATTTCCTCGAAGTATTAAGAATTAGAGGTATTGCCGCTAAGTATCCGTAAGCGGTTTAGCTTATCTCTTAGCGCGACCTCTAAGTAGCTAATCGGCGCGAGACTACCCTTTCTCCGACATTATCCCCTCTATTTTCCTTATTTAGAATCTTCCTCGAATACTAACTTATAATAACAATAGCACAATACCTATACGAATACGTCGAAGCTAAGTATTATTAAAGTAGCGCCGATACTATTAGATATATATTTGCTAAACGGGAAAGACTAGAGCTTCTATAAAAATATAGGCGGCTTTGTTTAATAGATTCTATATATAAGACGAATTTCCTAGGTTAGAAGCTATTTACTATTATAGTACGCGACACTACCGGCTCTTAGCGCTGCCCCTTCTATTTTCTTATAGAATACGAAGACGGCGACGTTATATTATCGTATATACTTGTTATTAAGAGATAGTGTCGAGAAAATAGTATAAGGTAGACTTCTAGGTACTAGGTTATAGACGATAGCGGAGCTAAATAGCGAGCGGTCAAAATCGCCTTTCTAGGTCTAATTATAGGTAAGATAGAAGTAACCTATTATCTCTACTATAAATACGTCGACGCTATACTCCGTAAGCGCTTTAAGGCCGACAAATATAAGAAGACCTTAGACTATATACTTATAGCATTAAAATTCAGAAGAACGGAGCCTAGTTATAACGACTCGATAAATAAAGCAATTAACGCGCTTCTACGCAACCTCTACGGCTAATCTAAGCGAGAATAGGTTAAATATATTAAGAACGAGTTTATTAAAACTAAGCGAATATAGGCTAATTTTGTACGAGAACACTTACCTCTATATATATAGTATAAGACTACTAATCTATTAGAAGGTCTACATTCTTGCCTAAAGAAGGGGGACCTTAAACGCGCTATAGCGGCGTTCTCGCTAAAGGGTATTGCTGTCTACGTCGACAACGTTGCGAATAGCTTCGACTATAGGGCTAATATCGCCCTTTATAACTTCCGCTCGAAGATATACCCTATTATCTATACTAATAAGTAGTTAAAGCTACTTCCTTACCCTATCTAAGCCCTTATTACCGCCGAGATTGCGCTCGGTAAGCTAGAATTTAATACTAGCGATATTAGAGACCTCGATAACTATAACTTCTGCGAGTGCGCTTTCTACCGGAAGTATTAGATTATATACCGCTATATCTATATATAGAACAAGCTCTATAACAACCTCTCGGAAGAAGACTATACTGTATAGATATAAGGCTAGTAGGAGAGCGGCTTCGAGTTATACTTTACTCGAGAGCGCGTTATTATTAACCTCGAGCTAGAGACAATAATAAGACTAGAGCGACGCGCTATTAAGATAAAGGAGTAGGTATTTAATATCCGAGAGCGCTTCTATAACCTCCGTAAAGAGTTAGCTAATAGTATAGACGACGATACAGCCGACAAAGCACTTACTAAGTAGTTGTCTCGAATATAGGCGGCTATAGACCCTATTGTTACCCTCTTAGTTGCTAAGCTAGTTACAGAGGTTTAGTTACTCGGCCTTTAGGTACCGCTAGTACTATTACTACTATAGCTGTATTAGATAGTAACTGCACCGACAAGCTCTTATAATCGGTCGCTATAGGATACTTCGTCTATACCGTAGTATTTACTTACTTAACTAACGCGTAGTAGTAGTAGTAAGAGGTCGAGAAACGCGTAGAATAGGGCGGTAGCAGCGGCGGTAGTAGTAGTAGTGCGGCAGTAACGATAATAACACCTCGGATTAAGCGATATTGCTATACTATACGTAGACTTTAGCTTTATTATAGCGATAGCGAGGTTAGAGGGTAGTAAGGGCAGTAAGGGCGAGAGGAAACGCGTAGTTTGTTTACTAAGATTTAAAACAGTAGAAGGTGCTAACAATAGAATCCGTGTCTCGTAATCTCCGGTTCCGGCAGACCTACTCTATCCTCGTTATATGCAAGACCTTTACGACGGTAAGTAAAATAAGAGACGGTAATGCATATAAGGAGGATAGAGTAGGTCTAGTCGGAAATTAGAGATTCCGCCGGGGAGCCGATTTCTTAGCCTTCTATATATATTTCTACTCTTCTAGTAAACAATCTATTTTGTACCTCGTCGTCGCTCTCTCTATACCTTACTATCGCTATCGCTACTCTTACTGTCGCAATAGACACCTATATTAAAGGCCTCGCAGACGCCGCAACTAGCTATATTAAAGGCCTCGAAGAAGCTATAGCCTTCGACTTCGCTACTACCGCCGCCGAGCTCGAGAAGGTAGTATTTAATACGCGGTTTAACGCGAATAGAGACGTTAAGAAGTATAGTATTAATAAGCTAACAACGGCGGAAGATATAGCGGATATCTTTAGTAGAATGCGGCCTATTAAGCAAGACGATTTGCTGCTCGACTTAGCTAGTCTCGACGGTAGTAAAGAACTTAACGGTAGTAAAGAACTCGGCGGTAGTAAAGGTAACGGTAGTAACGGTAGTAACGGTAGTAAAGAAGATGCTAAAGGCGAGATTGTAAGTAATAAAAAGCTAACTAAGAAGAAGAAGGCTTCTCGTAGCTATAACGAATTTAAGAGCCGCTAGCGTAGTTATTACTTTAACGCGTCGCAAAGGTTAGTAGTACCTATTCTAGCTAATATCGCTTCGTAGCGACAGTTGCTATTCGGATTGCGACCGGAGCCCTTCTAGGTTAGTAAGGACGATAGAAGCACCTACTAGCTATTAATTGACAACGTATAGTATACTAATAGCGCTCACCTTATATCCGCTTCGAAGTATATACGTATCTTTAGCTTTAAGTATCGCCTTAGTCGTAAGCAGCGCGTCTCGCAGGCGGATAAGTTAAAGAAGTCGAATAATAAGAGGCTTCGTAATACTAATAAGGACCGTAACCTCTATATAGCGCGCCTAAAGGTTAAAGTGTTATATAAGCCGTATAACGAGACTAACCCTACTAGCAACCTCGTTAAGAATAGTAAGAAGGAGTTTAAGCGTATTAAACCGGTCGAATACTAGTTCTCGTACTAAAGTAGGGATTAGGCCGCTTATAACCACTCTCTCGAGACTTCTAACCGTAACAAGTTGAATTCCTTCTAGCGGAAGGTAGTTAGTAACGAAAGGTAGAAGGGCTATAGAGCGGCGGAGGTAAAGGACAATATAATAGGTAAAAACGCACCTAGGCAATATAAGGTTCTTAAGGCTTCCGGAGGCCTTAGTTTTAAGCGAATGCACGTTCTTAATAGCGCTCGAGGCTTCCGTAAAGCACACCCTAATATCCGGTATACTAGCGGTCGATTAAGTACCTTAGTATAGTTGTTAGAGTTAAGAGATTAGTTGTTAGAGTATAAGTTCTTATTTCCTCGAAGTATTAAGAATTAGAGGTATTACCGCTAAGCATCCGTAAGCGGTTTAGCTTATCTCTTAGCGCGACCTCTAAGTAGCTAATCGGCGCGGGACTACCCTTTCTCCGATATTATCCCCTCTATTTTCCTTATTTAGAATCTTCCTCAAATACTAACTTATAATAATAATAGCATAATACCTATACGAATACGTCGAAGCTAAGCATTATTAAAGTAGCGCCGATACTATTAGATATATATTTGCTAAACGGGAAAGACTAGAGCTTCTACAAAAATATAGGCGGCTTTGTTTAATAGATTCTATATATAAGACGAATTTCCTAGGTTAGAAGCTGTTTACTGTTATAGTACGCGATACTACCGGCTCTTAGCGCTGCCCCTTCTATTTTCTTATAGAATACAAAGACGGCGACGTTATATTATCGTATATACTTATTGTTAAGAGATAGTGTCGAGAAAATAGTATAAGGTAGACTTCTAGGTACTAGGTTATAGACGACAGCGGAGCTAAACAGCGAGCGGTTAAAATCGCCTTTCTAGGTCTAATTATAGGTAAGACAGAAGTGACCTATTATCTCTGCTATAAACACGTCGACGCTACACTCCGTAAGCGCTTTAAGGCCGACAAATATAAGAAGACCTTAGACTATATACTTGTAGTATTAAAATTCAGAAGAACGGAGCCTAGTTGTAACGACTCGATAAACAAAGTAATTAACGCGCTTCTACGCAACCTCTATAGCTAACCTAAGCGAGAATAGGTTAAATATATTAAGAACGAGTTTATTAAAACTAAGCGAATATAGGCTAATTTTGTACGAGAATACTTACCTCTATATATATAGTATAAGACTACTAATCTATTAGAAGGTCTACATTCTTGCCTAAAGAAGGGGGACCTTAAACGCGCTATAGCGGCGTTCTCGCTAAAGGGTATTACTGTCTACGTCGACAACGTTACGAATAGCTTCGACTATAGGGCTAATATCGCCCTTTATAACTTCCGCTCGAAGATATACCCTATTATCTATACTAATAAGTAGTTAAAGCTACTTCCTTACCCTATCTAAGCCCTTATTACTACCGAGATTGCGCTCGGTAAGCTAGAATTTAATGCTAGCGATATTAGAGACCTCGATAACTATAACTTCTATAAGTGCGCTTTCTACCGGAAGTATTAGATTATATACCGCTATATCTATATATAGAACAAGCTCTATAACAACCTCTCGGAAGAAGACTATACTATATAGATATAAGGCTAGTAGGAGAGCGGCTTCGAGTTATACTTTACTCGAGAGCGCGTTATTATTAACCTTAAGCTAGAGACAATAATAAGACTAGAGCGACGCGCTATTAAGATAAAGGAGCAGGTGTTTAATATCTAAGAGCGCTTCTACAACCTCCGTAAAGAGTTAGCTAACAGTATAGACGACGATACGGCCGACAAAGCACTTACTAAGTAGTTGTCTCGAATATAGGCGGCTATAGACCCTATTATTGCCCTCTTAGTTACTAAGCTAGTTATAGAGGTTTAGTTACTCGGCCTTTAGGTGCCGCTAGCACTATTACTGCTATAGCTATATTAGATAGCAACTATACCGATAAGCTCTTATAATCGGTCGCTATAGGATACTTCGTCTATACCGTAGTATTTACTTACTTAACTAACGCGTAGTAGTAGTAGTAAGAGGTCGAGAAACGCGTAGAACAGGGCGGCAGCGGCGGCGGTAGTAGTAGTAGTGCGGTAGTAACGATAACAATACCTCGGATTAAGCGATATTGCTATACTATACGTAGACTTTAGCTTTATTATAGCGATAGCGAGGTTGGAGGGCAGTAAGGGTAGTAAGGGCGAGAGGAAACGCGTAGTTTGTTTACTAAGATTTAAAACAGTGGAAGGTGCTAACAATAGAATCCGTATCTCGTAATCTCCGGTTCCGGCAGACCCACTCTGTCCTCCTTATATGCAAGACCTGAGAGACAGGGAAGGAACTGTCGCCCCCTGCTAGCTTCTCTCCCCGACTCTGTCCTTCGACCTGCACTCCCCTATCACGCAATAATTTGGAATAGGGAACTCAGTCTTGATGTCCTGAGAATCTCTTTGCTTTACTGCTAGCTGCAATCGATATGTCTATGGCGCCAGCAATAATCTGCTGCTTTGCAGCTGCACGATCTACGAGCGATTCCGATCACGTCCACTACTCATGCCATCAGACACATCAACTCAGAACGGCGCCAATGAAGATCTCGAGTAGTATGTACAACAGTTCCTCGACATATGATATCGGCCTCCGGATCTTCGAAAGCACCACTGCTGTTCAATCAATACGACTACCCGGCTCAAGAACTAGCGAACCCAAATATAGAGTTGTATTATGCCAAGTCGATTACACGAGCATGTTGACGCCGTTACGGCCGCTTCAACCCCGGCGACAAGGGGGGTTTCCTTGAAGCAGATCTCACCCAAGAACACGATAAATTAAAGAATCACAGAGTGTGTTACGCATTGGGAGTGGCAGTCACCAAAAACGCGCACCGTAGATTCTGGGCAGTGCTATTCGTTCAGACCCTTGAGAATGCAGGGATGTCGGCGGATCCACTGTCACTACGATGCGCACAGTGCACCCAAGCCGGAAGTTTCGAATACGAGAGAGAAAAATACTACATGCTGGCTCCCTCCTGGCTACGGGAGTGATCCAACAATACTATATAAGACTGACCCTCCTTGTATTACAAGTCCACCTCCCACCCATTCTCCAGGCATACCAGTCCAACATCTTTACAATCCATCCAACCAACCACCACTCATTCAAAATGCACCTCACCACCACCCTCCCCCTCCTCCTCAGCGCCACCCTCTCCTTCGCCCTCCCCCAAGCCACTTACGGCACCTACACCCCCAAGACTTACACCACCTCCACCACCTCCACCACCCCCAGCACTTATTACTGGACCGTCACAAACTGGCACGTCGACTGCGCAAGATCAGGTTGCACTTACAATTTCAATGTAACCGGTCCCATCTCCGCGCCGAACCCAAGTTTCCTCGCCTACTGCTACGGCTCAGACACAGGCTACTATGCGCAATGCAAGGTTCTGCAGTACACTGCAACCGCGTCGGGAGCGCCGTCTGTAGCGGCGAGTTTGAGACCAAACACGGGGGATCAAATTGCGGTGGTGTCGGTCAGTTTGGCGTTTGTGGAATCTGATACTGGGTGAGTAGAATTCTTCTGAGAGGTGGAGAAGCGGGTGGGGTTTTTTTTGCTGATGCTAATGTGATGATACAGGGTCGCCAGGAATATCACCGGCTACCAAAATGCTCAGTACAATGGTTTTGTTGCGCCGTTGCAGAGTTTCACGATTGTGCCGAGTGGGAATGTCGGTGTTGCTTGAGTAAGGAGATAGGAAGGGGTGGGATGGGATGGAGAGGGGGTTGATGCATGCATAACGCATGCAGCGATCCTTTCGACCATAAACACTTTCCTTAGCGCCATGGGAATAGCCGCCGCTAGCCGTTTCCACCCGCTCGGTCTACTTTTCAGAGGTCGCGCGGGTTTTGCCGACACCGACTTGCAGCACTTAGCTCTTCGACTAGGCTTCAACCCACTTAATTATGCATCACCACATTCTATTATAATACAATAGTAACAATTTCAGATTTACAGAATTCGATGCGTCGATATTTCTGGTGCAGGAACCAATACATTTGGATCGCTGTGGAGTGTACATTAATTCGTGGAAGTATCCAACTCGAATGCTAACATGCTGACAAGTCCGCGCTAACGAAAGGGTGTATGGTCGAAAGGATGGCTGCATACGTTAGTGCTGGCGAGAAGTAGCTGCATGTGGTAGATAAATACTTCGAATGCTCTCTCTCTGAGACTCTCACGCAACCCGTCTTCCTTTATCGGTTCTATTTCTGTATCCGTTATTGGGTATCATGTAGAAACACCGTCGCAATGCAAAATTTTCCTGACCCTTTGACGACTTGATCCTCGATGCTATGCAAGAATAACTGCGAGCAGCAACACCCGCCTCCTTCCCTTCCACCTCATCCAGCCTGCTGTATCAACAACTTCCTCAGCTCGGCAAACTTAACCGGTTTCGGCAAAAACACATCAATTCCACTCGTCTCAGCTTCTTCCCTCGCCTTCTCGCTCGCCAGGCCCGTAAGCGCAATGACTGTAACCCTTTTGAGCCCATTCTCTTTCTCGAAATCTCGGATGCGTCTCGTAGCTTCCATGCCATCCATGATCGGCATCGAGATATCCATCAGCACGAAATCGAAATGCTTGTGATTTGGCAAGTCGGAGATTGAGGATCGGTAGAGGTCGAGAGCTTCTTGACCGTTTTCGGCTTCGAGGTAGGTAAATTTGCACCTTTTCATGAACATGACGAGGAGTTGGCGGTTGATCTTGTTGTCGTCTACGAGAAGGAGGTGCAGAGGATTTGGTTCGGGGCTCGGAGGTGGGGGGTCATTCTGGTTGATGTTTTGAATGGGGTCTCGATCTTCGGTCAACGGGGATCGTAGAGAGGGCGTCAGAGGGTCGATGGGTGTTGTAGCTGGATAAGAGAGAGCTGAGCTGACGGTAGTTCGGAGGTCGTTGGTGCAAGAATGGGGCTCTTTTGTTGAGTCTTTGGCGCCTGAACCCGGGACATCTTCTGACAGAGTTGATGTTATTTGGTCGGCATTTTCAAGTCGAGCGCGAACGTCTTGTGCCCGCTGTAGGCAGTGCATGAAAGCTTTGGCGAGCTTTCTCGGTCCGCAACTACAGCAGTATTAGTTCGTGTTGATCAATACAGCACAGTCTAGACTTACGGTTGCGGCATGACCTCGACGAGCTTTCCTAGCTTCCTAAGAGTCTCCTGTTCGTGTCTGGTCAGAGTGATCGCATCTTGATCGTTCTCGCAGATAATCACAATCGGAACGGTTCGCTTTGAATGCTCTGGATGGCCTTCACGATGGTGATGATCTGCCAGCTTCTCCAGCGGTGGGGGTTCACCAAAGACGTATAAGTCAGCATCCTTGACATCCATGTCGCTCGACCAAGAAACTCTCATTCCGAACCAATTTGTGCACACTTCTCTCACGGTCTGCTGGAAACGGGCCACGCGATGCGTTGGCACGCGACATCTATCGGGATCACCAGGATCCAGAATTACCAAGTGTTTGCCCTTCGTAAGTCGCTCAACTTCGAGCATCTCAGAATCAGGCGCAGGAAGACCATGAGCATCGAGTTCCTGCTGAACGTGGGCGGCGGTCGGCAGGCTTAAGTGGATGTCGATCTCAGTACCTACGTCCAACTCTGAGTGGACTTGCACACTGCCGCCCAGACTATCCACAATTTGCTTGACAATACTCAGACCAAGTCCAGTGCCGGGTTGAAAGGGATCCTCTTGGCTGAAAGGAACGAAGAGTCTGTCTCGCTGAAAGCTGTCGGACATGCCTTTGCCAGAGTCAACGACACGAATCAGAGCATTGATCTTGGAGCTGTCACTGCTTTCCTGAGCACGAAGTGAAACAGCCACGAAGCCAGAAGAGGTGTACTTTAAGGCGTTTCCAAGAAGATTCATGATGATGCGTCTCAAAGCGCCTGGCTGGATTCGCACAATCCAGGACCGCCTAGGACTAATGTCCAGCAGCACTGAGACACCATCGGATGCATGATCATTGGCAGAAGAAGCTGGCAGATTATTGACAGATTCGCTGGTCTGCTGGACAGGCTTGGCGAGAGCCATCGCGCCTGGTAACTTCTTGAAGGTGTGACCAGCCGTCACGGCCTCGGCCACCTCTTCCACGAGGATGCCAAGATCGACATCGGCCGTCATGTTGAGACTATCAAGGGTAGAGTCTGAGGTCAAACTGACTGGCTTGTTCTGCCGCGCTCTTCGTCTCATCTGTGTTTTGCCAAGTTTGTTGATCTTGCTGTAGTCTAGCACATGATTCAAGGTATCCAGAAGCGTCTTGCCGCAAGTCACGATTGAGTTCACCAGTCCAGCAGAGTAGGCATCTGCCGTGGTCTCCGCTAGAAACTCAGCGGCACCAAGTATGCCATGTAAAGGGGAACGAAGCTCATGGCTCATCGAGGCAATGAATGTCGTCTTAGCCGCTTCGTTTCGCTGCATGTTCATTCTGATCACCTCGCCGACAATACAATTGCCGAATGCCCGTAGATGCGACAGATCGGCATCGAGAGCAATACGCCCAACGGTGGATGACCATAGGAAACAACCAGCGACGAGCTTCTCCTCCGAGTGGTCGTACAGCGGTAGGAATGCCACAGTCTTGGCGCCTGGGATATTTTTAAGCAATTCTTTATGATCCATTTGCCGCTTTCGATTTCGTGATTTGGCTCTTGCGTTGGGACTCTCGTCAGTCTTGGTAGACTTATCGGCTTCTCTCTCGCTATTACTCTCTTCCTCTGACGATATACCCTTACCTTCATCGTTGAAGGAGAAGCTGCGACCTTGAGGATAGAGCGCATAGTACTTATCCAAAGTACCGACAGTAAGCGCAGTACTGCCCTCTATTGACTGTCGAGCGTGCTGATCGGCGACCGAGAAGGCCATGAGTTTACACGGCCGGGTAGATGGTGAGCTGTCAGAGTCGGAAGTTCCAGTCTCATGCCGATCAGAGTCGGATGCTGGTGAAGGTTGAGATTTGCGATCGTATACGTTGTCGTGGTTGTTTGGTGGCTGCTTGAAGACTGTATTGCCTCTCGAGTCAGCAGTAGAGCCGAAGATAGCGCAGCCATCCGCGATTGTGGAGTCGCGTAAGATCTCAGCTGCAGACGCAAACATTCGGGACACGCCGTCTGGTCTATTGGACTGAGTGTGAACATTGCGCGAGGATGCTCTCTTTGCGAGACCAGGCCGAGCGGGCTGAAGTGTGTCTGAAAGAGAAGAAACACTCTGTTCGTGGGGTATCGGTTGCCGGCTCTTCTCCCCTTCTGTCTTCTCTCCTTCTGGTGCTTCACGCAGACTCGAGCATTCGTCAATGAACTGCGCCATGCCTCTAACTATTCGCTCGCCTTTGAATCGGTCGACTCGGTCTCTTGCCCATTCGAGGTGTTCCATAGTGGATTGTGCCACCTCCTGCATGTATCTAAGCTCATCTGCACCCAGGCCGTCTCTCGGCGTGTCATTTGACACTGCTAGCGTTCCGATCATGTGTCCTGTACGACTTTGCAGCGGTACGCCAGCATAGAATCGCACTCCCGGCTCCGAGAGCACAAACGGTCGCTTGCTGAAGCGCTCGTCCAAGCGGCAGTCATTGATGATCATGCCGGATGTGGTGTACATGCGCCCGTCTGCTTCTGCGCCAGAGCAAGTCGAATACATAGCGTGCTCGCATACAGCGTCGGCGCGGGCAAGAATTGAGCTTCCCAGCCACAACTCGTCTCCATCTTCAGCAAATCCACGTGTGACAGAGTGTGTTCGGGTGGCTTCGGCGAGGATATACTGGTTGGTGGCGTCGATGAGGGAGACCATGCAGCGGCGTACGTCGAGTCGTATGGCCAGCAATTGCGCAAAGGCTGTCAGGGAGCGGTCGCGGGAGGCGATTGGGGCATAGCCTTGTTTGTGCAGGTCGAGTTGGGCGAGGGAGTCGACGTGTTTGGCGACATTGATAGAGCTGCCGTGCGCTGCGAGCCAGGGCTGGTAGTAGCGCTGCGTTTCGCGCGTCTGCAGCGAGTACGGCATTGTGTCGTGTCGTGTCCGATGTGTGCTGTATGCCCGGAAATCCCGTTTTGCCGGGCGAGCGGCGTTGGCAGGCAGGCGGTCGTGCTATAGCATTATCTGCACTCGGCGGTGAGTGTGTGAATGCAGCAGTGAAGTGTGCGAAGGTCAGCTGCTGTCCAAGTAGGGTAGGAGCGGCGTAGGGTATGTGTTATGCACGTGCGAATGTGCCAGTTCAACAAATATGGATACCTACTTGCCGCCGCTCACTCTCACGCGTCAGTGGATACCACGCCCACAAGCGAGAGCAGCGACATTCCTACTTGCCGGCCGCGGTAAACTGCGGATAATGCGCGCCTCGAATGCGGCTGCTGCAAGGGAGTTGTCGATAGCTTCAGAGTACGTCAGGTTTTGCGCTCGTTTGCCCGGAT